GACTAGCTGCGATAAATCCTTCTTCTGTCTCTGATCGAAGATCAGAGGCTGGCAGATTTCAGCCAAGCATGGCTAAGAGCAGAGGAGAGACCAAGATCTTTTAAATTTCAGAAGAAACTTCCGTGCATTGTCTTCTTCTCATGGACCTGCAAAAGATGGGCTTGCTGGGCCCTTTTTGTCTCTGCGCTGACACAGGTCAGCGACAATTCATTGATCGACCGATCCTGAAAGGTGCTATCAGTCTTAATGATGTCTAGAGACAGAGACAAGGATTGTACTGCTCGCTCTGCAGCTTTCATTAGGAAAGCTTTGTTCCCTGTGAGCTCATGATGGAAAACGAGCTTCAGCAGTGGGCCCTCAGACTGAATCACCCTGCAGGCCATTCCCAAGGTTAAGTGGTCGTGCAGATGCTCGAGGCTTAATAAACCCTGGCCTCCCTGATGACGTGGGAGATATATGCGCTGAACAGACGCCTTGGGGTGGAGGCTACGATTGGCGGTAAGGACCTTGCGGGTAGCGATGTCAAGGTCCCTCAGCTCAGTTCTGGTCCACTTAAGGATGCCAAAACTGTAAGACAGGACGGGTAATGCCAGCATATTATTATTTATTATTATCATTATTTATTTTATTATATTATTATTTATTAATTTTTTTTTTTTTTTTGGGGGGGGGGGGGGGNCAAAACTGGATGCAATATTCCAGCTGGGGTCTTATCAGCGCCGCATACAACGGAAGAATAACGCGAGATGTCCTACTTGCAACCGACCGACGAATGTAACCTAGAATCCTATTGCATTTGGCCACCGTCGCTTGCGCGTGCGAGGAAAACTTGAGGTCCTCATCGATAGAAACACCTAAATCTCTCTCTCCGTTTGCCTCATCCAATTTAACCTCGCCGAACGTGTCGATAATGCCTCGCCGAACGTGTCTTCATCTCGTTCCCTCGTCTGGTAACGCGGATCATCGTTGGGAAAGTTTGCGATCTGAGGCCATGGTCATTTCCCGATCTTCACTGAAGTCCGTTTCAACTTCATGGACATAAAGCACAGGCCTTGTTCACGAGAACGTAAAAACGTAAAAAAAAAATACAGTGTTCAAAGAAGTTTTTGGAACGTTCATTATTCACGGATAAGCAGCTTTTGAGCGCTCGATTACGGTGCTACTTGATCACAAAGTTGAACGTTTTCAGGGACGGTCATTCAAGGTTTGTGATGAAAGCTCAGAGGATACATTAGTCTACGGTTTCGTATTGTTACGGAGGGAAAGTGGAGACGGACGGCATGAGAGGCCGAAAGAAAGCCAAGGAACGGCCGGGAATTGAAGCCGGGCCTGCATGATTGCCGGTCAGGTGTGCTACCACTACACCACCGAACCCAGGACATTCAGTCGACCCTCTCGATGCCATCCTCATCCGTCACAGTATTTTCAAAGTCTGAAAGTCTGGAGTTCCGTGAGCGTTCCATGAACATGAAAGTTCTTTGAACGTTTTCAGGTATTTCGTCGTGCATTTATATAACCGATCAAGATATGTTCAAGATATGTTTTTTTTTTTACGTCCTGTACTATGGTACAGGACGTAAACAAAAAACATCTTGAACGTTTCTGTGCTAATTGGATGGGGCAGCAGACAAAAATTCTGGCTGTCACTCTGAACAAGGTTCGCACAACTGACGCGAGATGACGCCTGAATCGCCGATGTAGCGATTCACTTCCTGATGGCACTGAAGTAAATACCCAGTACCTTCCATACGGCGCTCGATATTTCCCCACAATCTATGGGAAAATATCAAAACACTTCGATACAGAGTACCGTGAAATTTCATGCTAATTTTTTTGGTAGAGCAAGGTGAACAGAAATTATAAACAGAAATTATATGATTGAACAGAAATTATAAACTGAAAATGGAAGAGGCTGGAGCCCCAGCAGAGTGATTCGACTCCGTGTATGTATCCACAGCACATGGCTCTTCACTCTTTTAACTCCCAACAAATCTCTTTCGTTATCAATATCCAACTTATTTTGAATTATTCCTCATCGCCTCGATTTGGTACGATGAATTTTTTTTTATGAAGTGTCACATATCATGTTTCGGCCTATGCAGAGCGCAGGCTTTGTGAAAATAGCAGCAGTATGAGCAGATTTTTCAGTTAAAAGCTGTGGGTCTTCTTTTTTTTTTTTTACCATATCCTGCATATCCATGTTAAAGATGTGACCCTGTCCAGGGAGACTCCAGGCATTTCTCGAGTCAAAGGTGACGGTTTTCCCGCTCAGGCGAGAACTCTATCGTCATTCTATGGAGTCAGGTCGCAAGCTGAGTCATCCTTCGTCTATTTGACTCCTCAAAGGAAGTATTAATAGATCCGGGTGCGATGAAAGAGATCACTCCAAGGATCTCATCTCGCCCATAACTTCTGAGTGTTGAAGAACCAATTACGATCGATTAAATCAGGAAAGGTTCTATCCCCGTGAAGGAAGCAAAGCCCCCAGAAGGCGATAATCAAGGGAAGGTAGAACTCCCAATCAAACCGAAAGAGTGCTGCATGAAGAACCCCAGGAGAGTAGCAAGGCTTTTTGTTTTCCTACCTTCTAAATTTCGGACAATTGAAATGTCAATGGAATGCTTCCATGTTCATTGCATGTTAGCTGAGCATTAGAATGTTCATTTCACATTCCGGTGCAACTTGCGGCCATAATCAATGCGATGTTAGCTCTAGTACGATAGTGTTCACTGGAAAGAAGGCGTGGGCGCTCCTGACGTACCCATATGTAGATGTTTATAAATTAATCTGACTCCAATATAGTCTCCACAGTACCGGTGGGTTTCGTAATGAAATACAGGGTGGGTCAAGAAATAAACTAAAGCGAAAAGAAAGCTTTTACGCAGAAATTGCAGCACCCGATCCAAAACTCTTCGTGTTCTCGTTCGTATGGACAGTCCGCTTTCGGCCTGAGTTGCCTTTATCCCGATTTAACAGAGATCCAGTCCCACGAAACTTCTTAACCCCTTAAATGGGGAATTTCTCGGACAGAAGTCTACCACCTGGGTCAAAAATTAATCTCGTGAGAGAAACAATTCGCGGTTTTGTACGAAATTTACCGCTCTTTCTCGAGTTTATACTCCTACTTCCGAGTTTCGAATTCATATTTAACTCAAAATATAACAAAACATTTGTCAAACCTCCCTGGGGAGCGTTTCACCAAGACGGATATATACGTCATACTCACTTAAGGGATTAACAGTTGCTAGGATTGTTGCATCTGCTGGAGCAGCTTTTGCAAACTGTTTACGAAATCTTTTCACCACTTCTAAAGATAGTCCGTCACTCTGGTCGGTACCATAACTCCGGAAATAAAGCTCAACTATCCATACACACTCTTGCACTGACAACTGAGGCATTTTGGTCATTACAGATTAACTTCAGTACTCAATAACCACCTGAAGCACAAACAAATACGATTTAACTTAAGTTTTTTTCTCTGGTCCACCCTGTACAAGATGATAAAACAGGAACAAATATTATACTATACGTGAGACCACTGACCAGAAAAGGGTCCACGCGAGTGGCAAGAAAGATCACACTCTCGTATATACGCAATCAAGAATGAGAGTCCGCCGTCTCTTGAAGGTGGGAGGTGAATCGTATCCTCCGATATACACCTCCGTCTCGGAGCCCACAAAGACAAGCTAACAGCATATTAGCGTTAGCAGGACGTTAGTTTGTCAGAGTAGCGTGCCCAGAAAATCCCAATGGGTGGGGGGGTTGACATGAAAAATTGGCAATCCACCCTGCATATATGGCCAAATAAGTTTTGAAAACGACGCCCATTAAAGCAGTAATGGGACTCTGAGGAGTTATATTTAGGAATTTATAGCATATAATCACACTTATTTTCTAGTTAAGATTATTAAGAACATCATGGATCCATGATGCTCTCAATAATCTTCACTAGAAAATAAGTGTGATTGACTCCATTAATCCTCTCCAAGAATGACTCCCACCATCCCTGAAACATTTTAAGGGCAGTTCTTGGGAAGGGTTCTCCTACTGCAGTAATACCGGGTGGGCCAAAAAAAAAAAATTTCCGAACTTCGTGCGGCTGCAGACGAGACACCATGCTAAGCATCATCTTGAATTTTTGTGTCATACCCAATATAGGTAGGTGGCTTTAGGAAAATTTTTAATGAAATTCCTTGCTCTGAACATGAGTAAGAGCTCTTTCCGTAAAAGTCATCAAATGAGCAAGTGTGTCAGTGTGTTTGCTGGCGTGCTGCTTCGGTGGGCGATCCATGGAAGACCCATCAAGCAATTCTTTCAGAGTTCTAGTGCATTCCTTTGCACACTCGCTTTTTTGACATCGCGCGGGAGAAAAATTGTTGCTCACGTAGTCTACAACCAATTTCGATGAAGCTTTTGTTATATTACCTGCAAACATTGCATGTAAAAGCCTGTAACTTTCCTGCCGATAACTCATATGGTACACCGCCTGCAGGTGTGTAAAAAGTTCGGAACGTTTTTTTTGGGCCACCCGGTATTTCAGATATGCACGACTAACAGCAGCTACAAATTAGGATTTCTCTGACAAACACAGGCTGGGAATATTAACGTTCAATGGTTACAAAAAAAGATTCTGCTATTCAAAATTAGATTTGACACACCAGTTCTGCAACTTACTCATTTAATATGATATAGTTATGCATATGTGCTCTTTTATTCATATGTGCTCTCTGAAACGTTTCTTTGTTGGAAATTCGCAGGAAAAGAGTAATGCGTTAATATTTCTGATGCCAGATCCATTCTTGCTACTGCTGGAATTCATTTGATGAGATCATTACAGGCAGAACCTACATACTTTTCCTAACTTCTTTCATGAATTATTACTCCTAGATCTTTGTCATATGAAGATGTTTTCAATCAAAGACAGATGAAGGCATGCCAAACCCATCAATTCTTCCTTTTAAATAACACCCCTAAACGAAAGGAGATGAAAAATAAAAACCTTTTCTCATTTCAGCAATATCACTATTTTTTCAACAATACATTACTTAGTCTCAAGGTTGACACGAAAGACAAGAATATGCACAAGTGCAAACTGATGAACTTGAGGAAACACCAAACTGAAGGATTCTCTTCATCTTCTCCTCACCGGTCCACTTCCCCAAACACTATATCAAGGGTACCTGGAAACAACATAAATATTCCATTGTTTAAAATGGTTATCACATTGCCCACGGCTAACCCATTTTGAGATGGGGGGACCATTAGTTCTACAGTACCAATGATGGCAACGATGTCAGCTAGCATGTGATTGCGACCAATCTGATCCAGGGCTGCAAGGTGAGCAAAACCTGGAGCCTTGATCTTGCACCGATATGGCCTGGATGTTCCATCTGAAATCAAGTACACACCAAATTCTCCCTTGGGTGCCTCAATGGCTGTATATGTAGTCCCTGGTGGCACCTGATAGCCTTCTGTGTAAAGCTTGAAGTGGTGGATCAAGGCCTCCATGGAGCTCTAAAATGACAACAGCAACCATACATTCACAACTTTTGCATATGCTATGAATGAAAAAAAATATAAGAAAAAATCTAGTTCATTTAAAAACAGAGGCACATGTTAAAGCATTTTTGGCAGTGTTCTCTTCAGCTGTGAATTGAGAGCTTAGACAAAGACTCAATTGCACAAAATGTTCTGTTCTAGCAAGCCATGTTCATTCAAGCCATTCATGGCCTGGGATACTTCCTGTATTACTAATAGACAAATTTGCTCAATGGTTGTTTCCAGTTTTCAAACCAGAGCGTACAGGGAATAAATTTTTGTTCATTTATAAGTTGAACTAAGGTTTCACATTCACAGCTATGAGGTTTACCTCAAGCTGAGTAATGGAGACACTTTAATACAGTGGAAATAATCAAATCAGACTGTTCACATACATGCCCCACTCAAAAACCCAGGTCAGCTTTGCACCCCTTAACCCCCTTCTAAGACCTGTACCTAGGCACATCACATCCTTGTTTCAATAAAGATTACCTACAGGAAATATTTTCGTCATGGCATGAATAAAAAACAAAAGAAATAGGGTTGCAGCAGTTCATGACACTGATATTTCATCTTTATTAATGAGTTAATATGGGAAACTCAGTTTCGCATCAGTAGGATGAGGCAAATGGGTGTAGACTTCTCATAGCCCTGTCAGATTATTGCTGATTCTCTTCTATACTAAGTCAAAAGTAACGCAGGAATTTAAGTGGAAGGCTTGCATGAGGGTTCCATTGCAGGGAAATTTGACCCTAATAATATTTTATAGTTTTTGGGCATTTGCTCTTGAGGTCAGGCTTTTTGAGCTTCCCCTTCTGTCCTCCCAAATATTTTTTCATAAAACAAGGCACTAACACCATTTAACCTTTATCATACAAAAGCTCCCCTTTTTGGGGTAGAAAAAGTATTCCAAGTTCAATTGAGGAGTTCTCTGGAAAAAGGGCGTATGTGCCCATACATCCGTATGGACACATATGCCCTTCTTCCAGAGAACTCCTCAATTAATCATGACACCATATTGCCTTATTCAATAGTGTTTCTTCTGCAAAATAATTTTTCTTTCATGTTTCTATTGCAAATAGTAATGAATATATACATTTTTTTCTCTAGTTCAACAACATGATTTGAATGCCAAAAAACCTTGAAGTGCAGTGTGTACCAGAGATTTTAAAATCAGTAAATAAAAGGTTAAAACATCAGAAAGAGACATGCACAAACCAAATTGGTGATGTAGAAACAAACAACTTTCCAAAGCTAGGTAAGCCTACTCAGGTCAGGGCAAAATGCAAGGAGTGCATGGTAGAAAATCAATGAAATGAATTAAACTTGTTCCCATTGGTGTTATGACTCAGATTAACATGCTGACTGCCAAGGGGTTTGGAACCACTGTTATTTCCAATGGCAAATGTGACACACCAGCATGTCATCTGGTGATCAATATGTTAAGGATTAACCATTGTAAGTGAACCTACAAAGAAAAAATCTGGATTTCTAGACCTGCACCAGGGAATCACTTCCATTCAGTCTTGTACTTCACTACTTTGCTTCAATCTGCTTTCCTTGCATGCTTTGGATTTGCTGAGAAGGAATTTAACATTTTCAGAAAAAGTAAATAATGCATGAAAATATAATTTTTTTCAATATACATACCAAAAAAAAGCAACTCAAAGGTTCCAAGCCATGTAATGCTCCCCCCCCCTCCATTTGAAAACAACTACTTCAACTCATTCACTGTTGCTTAGAAGTTTGCACATTAAATGCCGAGTGCTATGAAAAAGTCAGGCACATTAAATTTTTTTACCTAACTGACACAAATTACAGTGCAAATGCAATTCCACAAGAAATGTATGAAATAGTGATGCAATATCACATCAGGCCAGCACACAGCGAGAGTTGGGGCATGATGTGTTTACATGTGATGTAAGCAGTGAATGGGTTGTCACTGATGAGGATGGAATGTTTTGTGGGTGTTGGGAAAGAGTTCAACTTCACATGTATATGACCTGGAAGATGCATTACTACGAAGTACACAACTACTACACTTGCCAGCAGGAATAAAAGTAAGTTAAATTAAAAGGTATTGCTAAACCTTATTGAACACCCCTTGTATTTTTCCATTTTGCTATAAAATTATCTTGAAAATCAGTTATTCTCAATTTTGTCCCCTCTACAGAACCTTCCTTCTATTGGGAACCAAAGAAGAGAATGTGCGATATGATATAGACTGAATGTGATAAAGATGCCCTTGAGAACTGCCTCAAACTCAAGAAAACAGGGAACCCCATGGTCTGCATCCTACTCATTCCTTTCCTTGAAGGCCTGCCAGGACACTGTTAAATTTTCCTCCCATTTTAATTTTTTTCCAGCTGCAATACATGTGTGCAATTTTATTTTGCTATTTTTTACAATAATTTCATTAAAGAAGAAAACATACCTTCATTTCAGCTCGTTTTGGAGGAGAGACTTTAGCATCATCTGTTCTCACTTCTCCAGGGGGCATCTTATTCAGACACTGTTCAATTATACGAAGACTCTGCCGCATTTCCTCCATTCGAATCAGATACCTGAAATCCCAATCATGTACAGTGGGAAAGATTCTATGAGAATAATGAATCAAAATTAAGGGAAGATTCCTGATGCATCCATGACTTACATTATGAACAAGTTTCATTTAAAAACCATCCTATAAATAAAACGAGCTCTAACAAAAAAATTGTTAATGGAATAGAGGGAAGCTGTTTGATTGAAAGTCTAAGGTCTGTGCTATAAAACAAGTTTTCACTATGCAATCAAACATTGTTTACAGTAACTTGGATGTTAGTACTCAAATTTCTGCATGCATTCTTCAGGGTTACAATTAATTTTTAATTAGGAATTTTTGTGACGGTTTTTAGAAATAGCAACAATATGAAACTGAAACACATTCCATTTGAGTTCTGTGGAAACAGTGAAAGTGAAGAACACATGAAAATGTTCACTCCACAAAATTACCACTTATCTCAGGAGGAATTATAGCATAACCTGTACAAGGTGGGCAGAAACTCCCTATACCCCAGGGATATTCAGCATCCAGAGGATCAGTGAAACCTCCATCGTTGATACGTTGCCATGTTCTGTGAGACATCTACCGAACCATTTAAGTGCCCAGACCTCACTACTTATAACAACTTGCTGTGGGGCTGCATCAAAGAAATTGTGCCAATGAAGCGCTACAAGACAACTGAGGAATAGAAAGATGCTGTTCGTGAAACATTTGCTAAAATTCCAAATTCCAATACTGCGAAAGATGTCTCACAGGACTTGGTGACGCATCATTTTGTGCCGCAACAATGATGGAGCTCACACAGACCCTCTGGATGCTTAATATCCCAGGGGTATAGGGACTTCCTACCCACCCAGTATATACAATATTTTGCAACTTTTCCTTTTGACCAGTTTTTCCAGGCTACTGCTATGGTTAAGATATATAAAAACCACAGAATAAGAGGGAGAAGTCACATATGAATGCCATTACCGATCATAACAGTCTCCTCTCTTCCCAATGGGTATGTCAAATTCCATTTCATCATAGGCATCATAAGGTTGAGCCTTTCTCAAGTCCCATTTGATGCCCGAGCCTCGTAACATGACTCCACTGCATTTTAGGATGAAAGACATTTTGTGTGAAAGGAGTTTTTAATGAATGTTACAGTTCCTACTGATGGAAAGATATGAAAGACCTCATGCCAAAATTGAGTGCATCTTCATAGCTGACAACTCCAATGTCAATGGTTCGTTGTCTCCAAATGGGATTGTTTGTCAAGAGATCCTCCACCTCATCCAGTCGTTGACCATATTTGCTGCTCCAGTCCCATATGTCATCCATAAGGCCCAAAGGCAAGTCCTGTTCCAAGTAGAAAATATCACAGTACCTAGATTATTATTCCTTTGAACAGGTGCATCTCTTTAACAGTCCATCTAACAAAATGACAAAGGAAAGAAATATATATGGTGCAGAATTTCATTTTAATCATTTTTGTCTTCATGTTAGGAGTAGGTGCATTTTCAAAGCCAGCAGATTACAGTCTTTGACAGCAAGGGCTCACCTAGCTCAACTGCAAAAGGTGGTGGTGACTGATAAGAAGCAAAGAGTGGTCCTGGTGGGAAATTTTCTTGAATAAAAAGACATTGTGTCCAATCCATACCTCTGTTGAGAAGTTGTGACTAGACTTTTGCACAAGGAATTGAGGAGTTCTCTGGAAAAGGGGTGTATGTGCCCATACGTCCCTTTTTCCATATCCATGTCCATGTGCTGCTTTAGGTGACTAGTCATAGGATCAGCTAGTAGTTAATTGCATATTCAGCAAAGGAGAATCAGATTTTCCCATGCTCTCACTAAACAGCAGGCCAACTGCCTGGGAATTTCAATATGGCTGCTTCCATGAATATTCCATTAGCACTTGCATGCTGGATGATTTTGGTGGAATTATTTTGTCCTTTTAAACTGATAGTGGAGGAAGAAACCAGACATGAGGAAAGGGATAGAAAGAGACTGAGTCATTCAAGCCTCTGGAAGGATGTGAGAAGTTGGAGATATCCATGAAATAGTTGAAGACTCATATGATGAATACATTAATAATGGATCACTACTGAGTAATTGGTGAATGAAACGTGTCCTAACTATTCACATTTTCATTGCTATTTTTCAAGTAAGAGTTTATTTGAAATCTGTAGATGCATTTATTGATTATTATTAACTAGAAAGAAGTGGTGTAAGACTCATCAGAAAAAGTTTCAGCAGTGCGGATATGGAAAAAGGGTGTATGTGCAGGAACACTTTCTGCCTGCATCCCAGCAATGTGAGATAATGAAATTCATTCAAACCCCAAGTTCAATAGGAAAAAGGCCTAAGATACCATTTTACTGATAATTAAGTTTAGACCAGCTTCAGATTAGCTATGGGAAGTTTTTATTGTTTATCTAAAATTGCACCTTTTGCACATACGCCCTTTTTTTTTTTTTTAGAGAACTCCTCAATTCTGTGACCTTGAAAATCACAATCTCACTGGAGTTGTAAGGAAGCTAGAGGCTCCTCATTGCAGTCATTAAATGCAACTGCCAGCAAGGAGGCAAATGTAGCGCCATCTCACATATGCCCCATGCTGACCAACTATCTCAGTCATGCCTGATCAATGAATGATCTACGATCATAGTTTCCAGGATGTTGATCATTAGAGATGTACCAGATATCCTGTTACTATCTGGTATCTAGTGACTTTACAGGACATCCAATTAGGCCAGATTGAGGGCCAAATGTTTGATGAGGGGGATATAGAAATGGGAGTGATATCTGATGAGAAATGAAAAAGCAAGACAAGTATTTATGAGGAGTGACCACCTCTCCTGAGAGTCTTTCACAGTGAGGACTTTTCTATCTTCACGCAAGGTTTTCTGGACATCTGCCAGATGTACTCCAGAACATTTTGTGGCATGAAATTTGAATGCAGGGTCATATTCCCCCAAATAGCTCTAAACATATCCCATGTTTCTTCATCAACAATGTTTGGAACTTTATGTCTTACGCATTGCATAGAAAAATAAAAGGTAAGCATAAACTTGATTCTTCCTCACCAAAGACACTCCTCCAGGTCGAACATAAGCAGCGTGCATGCGGGCACCAGAAACTCTTTCGTAGAACTCCATCATTTTCTCCCTTTCTTCAAACAGCCAGAAGAATGGTGTGAGAGCACCAATGTCCAGGGCATGAGTTGTGATGCCCAGAATATGATTCAGTATCCTTGTAATCTCACCAAATAATACTGCAAAATCCAAGTAATGTATAAGTTTCTATCTTAAAGGGGTTGTTAAAAGACCCACAAGCCTTACCTCGAATATACTTTGCTCTTGGTGGGATATCAATATTCAAAAGCTTCTCAACTGCAAGTGAAAAGCATTGTTCATTGCACATCATAGATACATAATCAAGGCGATCAAAGTAGGGCAATGCTTGTAGGTATGTCTTGTGTTCTATCAGCTTCTCTGTAGCCCGATGCAGAAGTCCAATGTGTGGATCCATTCGCATGACTGTCTAAAAAGAACAGCAAAGAAACTCAAGTTGAAAAATATCTTGAAGGATTATCTTGCATTTGGAATTCACCTCTCCATCAAGTTCCATGACAAGTCTCAGGACTCCGTGAGCAGCAGGGTGTTGAGGACCAAAATTGATGGTGCAGTTCCTGAGCTGCTTTGGTTCCCGAGGAGGTTCTAATGCATTCCAAGGTGTCTCTCGTATAGATGCCAAAGGAGAGCCTGGTTGTGCATAGAGGACTGGACCTCGAAATTGCTCCAACCATTCCAAGTCAGGAGTCCATCGCTTTGCACCTCGTCTCTGCCTATTCAAATCCCGAACAGAAGTGACTTAACAACTGCCTTTGCCATTGCACACAAATACACAGCACACTGAATTATGCTAAGGCCTCACTCAATAAGAGGAGATTGAGAATGAGTATCCCAGTGAGAATTCCCTGTGACAAAGGCTCCCAAAGAGGTTGGGAACCTGGATACAAGCCTGCCCTTCTCAGCCAAAGACCTCAATGCTCCTAAAGACATGACTGTATACCTGTGACTAAGATCACTTCAAGTAAAAAGGGAAAGTTTTGGGCACTGCATCTAAAAGAAAGATGGTCCACAATCAGCACAAGCACCTTTGCACCACATCAGAAAAATCATCTTTGTTGCTACTAGATTAGATTAATTCTATGGCCAGAATGAAACAGCAGAGAATTCTGTTTGCCTAGTCAATACAGCAAAGGAAACTTGCTAGAAGCAAAGAGGGGTTGTACTGACATTTCATGCCTAATGCCTGCCAACAGGGTTACACAGGCACCCCCTTCTTTGTTCAGATGGCAGTCCAATATCAAAAACTTATTGCACTCTCAGAAGTGTTTATTTCTCACTCAAGGACAGGCAATGACTTACAACTGGTACAAAAAACATCTACAATGAAAGGATAGAAATATACAGGGCATCCTTCATTTAGCCTCACTATCATATTTCATATTTCAAACCAATGCTCCATGCTTGAGCCACTTTAAGCTCCTTGAATATTGATGCTAATGGCCTTGATATGCATCTCACCGAAGACCAAGGATATGCAAAATTCATAATTAAAATATCATAGAGTGAACAAATACAGTGAAAATTAGACAGACTTGTCATCTGAGGACAAGCACATATAAAGAGCATCCAAAAAGGTCTGGGCCAAAAAGGCCACCTTCCACTTGTGCATTTAGAACAAAAATTTTCCTGTGCATACAGCAACTTATTGCCAATTCCACAATGGATGCATATGTATGCATAAGAAAATTCTGATTCTAAATGCAGATGAATTTTTTGGATGCCCCTCATAGTAAGAAGGCTATGTGATTCAATGTGGATGGTATGAAAGAGATGATTTGTCAGAGAAATGCTACAGGCTCAAGAGGGGGCACCTTACCTGCACACAAAAAAGGCAACAGCCTGGAATGAAGCCAATTAAAGGACACCCAGTATATGTGTGAATTTGTTCATTTTGTCGAGGGCACTTGATCTATGCCTAATTGATAGAAAGTCTACTCATGAAGTTACTTTTAACAGTAAGGACCTAAACACTAGTACAGGGGTGTACATAATTACAGATAAATGAATTCGGGGGCATGAAAACGAGATCAGACAGAAGGCACAGCCATTTGGAAAATCCACCTTTAACTGGCTGGGATGAGAATGTACTGAGTGGCAAGCTGATTCTCATCTTCAGGTGTCATGATCATGTGGACAAGTTCATGTTGCCCTGCGTGAACAGTGCTGACAGGGATGGTCTGGGTAGCTGAAAGAGGGACATGCTGAGGTTGAGGAGAATCTGTCTGCGGAAGAACAGTCACTGTTGTCCCTGGTGATTCAAGATGCATTCCCATCTTTTCAGCATCTTCCTTTGAAATGCTTGCAGTCACAGCAGTGGGACTTGCATAATGAAGTTCTGTAACTTCTGCCATATCTTCTATCTTCACTGGGTGGTGCTTGAGAATAGCTTCCTCTGGTGAAACTGATCCTGCTTCAGGATGAGATGTTCTCAAGTGAGAGATGATATGTGGGCGTCTGACAAATTGCTGCCCACATATCTTGCATTCAAATGGTTTCTTGTTACTATGTATGTACATGTGTGAATGTCGATTATCCCAGGAACTGAACAGTTTCCCACAGATCAAACAGGGATATTTTCGTTCTCCAGTATGTGTACGCCGATGCTTGATCATGCTACTTGAGTAAAGGAAGCTCTGGCCACAGATGTTGCAGACATATTTGCGATCATGCTGGTGAACTGATGCAATGTGGCGACGCAAGCTACCAGTAGAGCCATAACTCTTTTCACAACTAGGATCAGGACACTTGTAGGTGGCATCTTCCATGTGGGTTGACCTGAAGTGGGAGTCCAGATTTGCTTGATAATTGAAAATCTTGCCACAGACTTCACATTGGAATTTTGGATTTTCCTGATGCCTGGAAACATGAGCTCGAAGAGCATTATGAGAAGAAAAGAGCATCCCACAGAAATGGCATGCCAATTTGTTAGCTTTGTTATGCATGCGCATATGATCAACAAGAGAAGGAACACTCTTCAGCTGCTTACCACACACTTCACAAACAGCTTCATGAGTCATATAGTGGACTTTTCTCTCAGGTCGTGTGCTGAATACAATTCCACAGATTTGACAAGCATACCCTCCAACCTCACTTGACTTTTCATGCAGTTTTGCATGATGCCTGAGTGACTGAACCAGCTCAAATCGAGCCCCACAGATCTCACACAGGTGTGGACGCTCTGTCACATGGGTTTTGTAGTGTTCCATAAGTTCCACCTTGGTCTCTCTTTTCTCTGGGCAATACTTACATGCATACTCTGTACGATGGAGCTCATTGCAATGCTTGAGCAGCCGAGAATAAAGCAAGAAAGATTTGTCACACATGATGCAGCGGAAGTCTGAATCCCCTTGATTCTCATGATCTCGAATGTGCTGGAGAAACATCTTCTTATATGGAAAGGCTTGATTGCAAGCTGGACAAGTATGAATCTCATTTCCTCTATGTTTTGTCATCATATGATTTTTCAGTCTTGTCTTGGTCATGAAGCGTTGATAGCAATAACTGCAAACATGGCAAAGGCGCTCATAAGCTTCTGCATCCGTTTCCTTGTGCCTTTCATAGTGAGCCTGGAGCTCCTCTCTAGAATCAAGTGCCTCCTTGCAAATCTTACAAAGAAGCTTCTTCACTTTCACAAATTTCTTCCTAATTCCTTGTTGTGAATGAGAGGAAGAATCATCTTCATCCATATTTCCCAACTCTCGTTTTCCTTCCTGGTCTTGCTCATCAACAGAATCAGATAAAGGCTCCTCCATGAAAGGTGTTGAATCTTCATCAGACATAGGAGTATCCAAACTCCCTTCTTCAATCATTTCTTCTTCTTGACCCTCATCATCTCCCATCCCCTAAAGAAAAGCAGCATACACACTCTTTGTGAGGAAACTTTGGCATAGAAGCTTATCTTATGCTACTTCCTCATTTGAAAAACTTCTCCCTCTCTTTCCCCCCCTTCAAAAATTTTTTCCTCCAATATATGTTGCTTTAGTACTTGGCACTTGGTACTTCAACTACAATTACACTGATTGTTGTACCATTGGCTCAAGCAGAACACTTCCACAGGGAGTAAATCCTCAATGTGGTTGAAATCACTAGTTAATCATAGGAATGAGCACTAAAGACAGGGTGAATTACTGAATTCTCTGGTTATTATTTAAGTCTCATTACTAAAAGAACTATTAATTCAGCTTTTTTAGGCCTCACCTTGAAATGAGCATTGTTGAACTTATCCATGAGCCGTCTTCTAACATCACTGAGATCATCTTCAAGGCTGGCATATTCTTCAAAAAGTTTCTTGCAAGATCGACATATAAGCAACGGATCATGCAGCTTCAACTCAAAAGAAGCAGCAAACTCCTTCCAAGCCCTCTCAGAAACTGGGTATGTGTCTGGCCCAGAAACTTGAAGAGCTCCACGAGTTCGTGCTGTGATGTTCACTGAGCAGACAGCACAAGAAGTTTCTGCCATATCTCCACGCTATGAAGTAAAAATCACCCAGTGAACACAATGTTCCAGGATGGTGGTTGTAGTTTTCCTACTTTAGGAGAAGTAGGAAGTTAAGGAAAAGTATGGACATTTTTGCATGCAGTGCAGGTATAAGCTCTTTTTCGGTGGGCATGTTTTTGCACATTCTACAGCTTAGCCAGTGTATGGTGGGAGCTTACCCTAAGTGTTCACATGGTGCACATAATGTAGGGATACAAATGCCCATTCCCAAGCAGGCAGTTCCCATTGTCCTAGTTGGTAGGACTGAGACATATTATTCTCAAACTGCAACCCATAATGCCCAAGTTGGCAACTTGGCTGCCGGCAACTTCTCCTACCCTAAATCAACTACAAGACCAATCTTCTTTTTCATTCTTGCAACATGAAAGTTTATTCAGTAAAAAAATGCCATGGATCAGTCGAATTATAGGCCTAACACAATTAGACATACATTCAGAGTGGTCAGCCACATCTGTGAATAGTTATAGGTTTGTGCACCTAAAAATTAAACACTTCATTACTATCCAGTAAAAATGAATCAAGTTTCAATATTTCACACATGCCTACCCCTAGATTTAACAGACATGGCAGGTGAAAAGGCAAAGGAAGTGGTTACCCATCCAATCACACCTTCAACAACCTCAAAAAACCCAGTTCCTCATATTGATATTCACCCCCTAAATCACAATTCTCCTTCAAATTTGACAGCAACCCTCAAAATATGCTGAGATGTCTTCTTTGGCCACCTTTGAACCCAACCTCTACTGCTGCTCTTCCAGAGGAACCATTCTGATCCAAGAAAATAGCTGAATCCTTATTCTGCAATGTATGTCTGTTGGAATTTGAACCAAGCAAAGCAAACCTTACAGTAACAGCTGCTCAGAAATCAGATGTGTTGATCATCAGGCATTCAGACCAAAATCGAGCAGTCTTACCTAAAAGCAACATTCGGAGAATAACTGAACATTGCTTTTAGGTCCTTTCATGCCTGCCATCACCAAGTAATGGTGTATCTGTGGAATGACTGCTTCAAGATTCCAGAGAAGAGCACATACTGATTGATCATCCTGTGGTCATTGTGAGCCTTGATCATCCCAACCCTAGTAGATACATGTCTCCTGTTGTTTTATTGTGCCATATTTTTGGAACAATAGTTTTCAAATACCAAATAGCTCTGCAGTGACATGTTCAGCAGTACACATCTTGTTCACTTCAACAAATCTCTAGCATCACAGCTTCAAAGCCTGCCCAACAGGTGCTCAAATTTGCTTGGCACACAGCATGAGAATTGACAGGTACTAGTCCATATACTACAATGTACTATCAAGTTAAAGTACCTGATTAAATTAGGTTAGGTTAGGACAAATACTATAGTACTTCAGTATATGTGTGACACAATAACATTTTCAGTTCACCTTTCCTGAAGTTCCTCAGACATATCATAATTCACATCCAAAGGTATCTGCAGAGATGTTAAAAACCTCATAGTTCACATTATTTGCAAATTACTCACAGATGTCAAGTGTCAAAGTAGCATGTACAGACAGTACCACATTATTAAGCGTAAAATTAAACAAGCACTTCCTCACAAAAGTACTGCTGGTCTTGTTTCTTGCAAGTACAATGTATTTGCTGTGGCCTTTAAACCTACACTAAGGTAAGGTTGTTTGAGTAAAAAATATATCACAAAAGGGCACCTCAAACTGGTAGGTTTATAAATGAAAGGGAGTGACTAACATTTTGGGGACACATGGTCCCCTTCTTCAGGGTATCAAAAGGAGAATGAAAATGAAATAAAATAAAAAAGATAATGATGAAGTCAAGTAAAACAGAGTTCAGTACAATGAAATAGGATACGACAGAGTCAAGGGGGGGGATATAGAGAGATAGGAGAGGAAAAAGGGAAATCACCAAGAGAGGATAAAATAAAAGAAACTGAAGAGACAAAATCACAAGGCAAGAGTATAATGCAATGGAGAAGAAATGAATGAAGGAAGTAACCAGGGGGAAAGGAAAGGGCAAAGCAAGGTCAACAGGCTAGATTTTAGAGATGATTGTAGGATTCAATTTGTCAATCCAGAATTTTTCACATTCCTTGTAGTAGAGAGGGTTGGCTCATTTTACATGCTCTAAAGCAGTGGTGCCCAACCCATGGCCCGTGGGCAAAAAGTGGCCTGCGAGGTCCTAACTCACAATAATTGCCTTCAATAGTCTCCTACAATACTAGTGACTGCATATGGCCTGTGATGGCTGTTGGAGTGAGCTATGTGACCCTCTAGCTGAAAAGGTTGGGCACCACTGCTCTATAGGTAGGATGGTGAGATCATCAAGGCAGTCATCTTTGGTATAAAATTCAAACTGGTAGGTTTGTTGTACTTGAGTTTAACATAGCAAATGTTTTCCTTGGCATGATCCCTGAAAGGTCTGCCAATTTCATCCATGTACTGGATTGTTCAGTTTAAAGTGGTGGACTCTTTTCATTGCAGTCACATCAGACTCACAGGCCAAGCTAGGCCTATTATGTGCCTTGGCTTAAACAATGAACAGGGAGCAAAGGTCTTCAACCCAAAGGTTACACAATACCGATCAGGATTTTTCTTCTAGGCTTAGCCTATTGTTTAGAACATAGCTGATGAAAAACGTTTTGGCCTTAATCACTCGATCATGGGTGATTTCATTCGGGTAGTTCATGTTAGACTCGAATCTACTGTCAAATGAATGAGTGAAATAAATTCTCTCTCTCTCTCTCTCCCCCCTCTGTGGGAGGTTAATTTTCGACGGCACGTGAACGAGGAAGAAAAATGGGAAAGGCCTAGTCTAAATGGGGTTCATTGTCCGCTGCTTCACATGACGTTAAGCCTAGGCCTGTTCCTCGGGCGGAAATCAAGAATAGGCTCAGGGCCAGGCTTAATGCCTTAAATGAATCCCACGCTGGACAACCCGTAGGCCGATGTAAGAAGTTACAATTCTTCCCCACCAGCAACCCTGAGAAAACACAGATCTACCGTGCAGTTATGCCAAAGTTTGATTTCAGTTTCGCGCGCAAATGACATGTTAAGATTACGCTGTGAGCTATTTGGAAGTGTTCAAAGAGCATCAGAGGCGGGGGATGACTGTCAAAGACGAAACTGGGATGAAATGGTGGAGAAAATAAGCCAGAATGAAGACGTACTCAACGTTATTCGAATGAAGAGGATCGACGGTGGAGCTCCGACGCCATTTTCCCTTCCAACAACCGTCACTGCTCTCATGACGTCAATTTGTTTGCCAAATGCCAGTCACATTATAACATTATCTTAATTTATTACTCGAGAAGAGATTAGGCTAAAACAAAAGACAAAATTTCCTAAATTCTCATCGTACTTTTCTTCAGATCACATGGTCTCAATGTCATGCAAATGTTCACTCTCTGTTAACTCCCTATGAAAGAATAGCGACGAGTTAGCATCCCTGCTAGCGAAAGCAGCGGGAGCGGGATATCCGGCACCCCACAGGACACGAAACTCGTAGAATGAAAGGGAGAGCGGGAGTATAGAGATCTTGGACAAAGCGAGGCCTCTATTACGTTGAATAGTCTGCCCGAAACCCGGGAAATTGAAATGAAGTATAACAGATTCCAAAATGTTATTAGGACCTTGCGTTGATGCATTTGCATAAGCGCCATATCCTCAGCAGTACAATATTATATTTACATAAAAATTTTTCCATCTCATCCAGTTCGTGGCGTACTCACGACGCTGAAATAGCACGATCAAGTCCATTTCATTCTAGACCGCACGTCCGCAAAGTATTTCTTCTTTTTTTTTTACATTGAAATGTGATTTGGTTCGTTTTTATCTGGATAATATCTAGACCAGAGATCAATACATCTACATGGAGCAACAGTTCATTTTGTCAGGTCTGCAGGCTCAACAAAGTCGGAGGTGATTTATTCCACTCCGAAGCGAAAATGTATCGTGGAAGTGTACATCAAGAGTGAGTCGCATGCACGATGTAGACCAGTGATGCACAACCCGCGACCCGCAGAGACCCTTTTTGCGGCCCCTTGGATGCCTCCGGTCTCTAAAGATCCATATTTATATGCGGCCTATTTATGCTCATGGTCGAGGGTCTGCGGTCCTCCATCCCCTCAAACATGAGCCGAAATCTAAATTTTGGCCCTCTACGTGGAAAAGGTTGTGCACCACTGATGTAGACAGACATTTCAGGTTCATTTCCGAACGCTGAAGTGCCGTCAAAAACCTCTCCGTGAATGGTCGTGGACATGTTCGTGGAAACGTGTGGGTACATAAACGTCGAACGCACAAGGCTAAGGGGCGTGCACCCCACCCCCACCCCCGGTTCTATATATTTTTTATAAGCCGGCGCCTGTTTGTGGGTACACTTAACAGCAAAAAATATGCATCGTAGGCTTACATCAGCGCTATTTTCTCTTAAAAATTTTTAAATTCAATATACAGTGGATTGGAATGTCATTTGGATTGTGAATTAGAAAATAATTCACTTATTAATTGAATAGTCCTATTGACTCCAACTACATGAATGCAACGTTTTTCTTTCTTAAATAAAGTGAATGCGGAGAATTTTCAGCAAATGAATGAGTTACTTTTTCTTCAAAGGGACATGACCTGCGTAGATTAAACAGTTCTGAGGTTACAAAAAAAGGTGAAAAGTCAATGTACAATTCGCTTGGTGCAGGAGTTTCGAAACTCAGCTGCGCTGCTCTAAAAGTGGTACCGTCCCAAGTAACATCGGAGCATCCAAGTAATTTTCAACAAACGTCTTATTTAAGGATCAGCCAATGCGCAATGAACGTCCTTGAAAACTTTTTGACCATAAAAATCTCATAAATTTAGAACTTACTAAAGCATTCAAATTATGAGCTGTAATCAAGCAGAGCCGTTTCTAGGCGTGTTGGCGCCCAGGGCAAGAAGTTCCAATGGCGCCCCCTCCCCCATTTACCCCGCTTGCGCCCCGGGCGATCGCCCGCCCCTAGAAACGGCCCTGTAATCAAGAATGTGAAACAAACGAGCCAGACACAAGTAGCTAAGATCATCCTCTGTACGAGGTATGTCCACTGAGTATCCGACTATTGGCATACGGAGATTCACAGGCATTCTTAACAACATGTTCTCCTGAAACCATCCTGTGCTTACAGAGTATGGTAAAAATCGAATTACGACTTTCAGTTGCATATCTATGCGATTTTAACGTTATCTTGTTTCGGTTTGGGGGACATTTCTTGCTAAAATAACTATCAGATGGTTTATTGTTTTTCCACTTGTTTTTCATATTGAAGAGAAAATCAAAAAAAATTTTCCTGAAAGTTCATTAAGAAAATTCAGCTTTTCGTTAGTTCACGTTTGAGCAGCTCTCAGCAAATTTATCTTGTTTAAGGTCATGTCCATTTTTTATTACTTCTTTCATGGTATAGTGTTACTGACGGTGCAGTGTCTTCAGGGCACAGCTGCGACAGGAAGGCCCTATGTCATGATGTGACCGATGTGAAAAATCGTATTTCCTTTTATTATGTTTACTTCATGAACCTTTAAAAAAAAATTGTTCATTCTACTCATTCCTGTCCCCCCCCTCCTAGGGCCTGAGTTTACGTTCATATTTCAACATTCAACGAGACAAAGTTGTCGAAAACTGTTCATAAAAATGGTGTATTTCATGCCCTACTTTCTTTCTACTTTCAATTAGAATGACCGAACACCATTTCAATTCGCACCATAATCTTCTCGAAAGGCTCATAAACACAGAGTTTAGAGAAATATCTGATCCAATGTAATGAGACATGGTCTTCTCGTCTTGTCACTTTTCTATTCAATGACGAAAGATGTGCGAAAGTATTTCTGTAGAGCAAATACAACTCCATCCTGTGAGTCTCGATGGTATTGGGGTAGTCTTGGGACATCCACACTTCACTTGCGCAAATAAGACCACATGTCTCACGAAGGAGCGATTCCTTCAGATGATGGATTTTTACATTTAAAGAGCCGGCATTAAAAGGCTCTGCCTCACAAGAAATCTCGCCTAGTCACTTTTTACTTTGCTTTCCTTCAGGACGTATCAATACAAATGAAGGTTCATCATCAAATCGATGCTTTCATACCAATGATGTTTTATTGACTTCTGCAGCCGAGAAGGAAGAAACGAGAAAGGACAGAACAGAATGCAAGACTTGAGAGAATGTTAACTTCAATTCACATACGGAAAAAAAGAGGTCGGTGAGGATGTGAAGAATTAATAAATATGCACTCACCTGTCACTACCACGTACTTTCTCTACTAAAGTAAGCACGGATACGAGACAAAAATGCTTCCCTAATGGAAGTATATCAGCTCAAACATGACAAACATTCATTGATTCATTATTTTATACAGAATCGTATCAATATGTATGCACATTCACGCAGGAATGAGAAGAGGAGGTCGCGGGAAGATGGAGGCAGATGATCGTCTACATCGGGGATACTCCTTGTTCTCGGGAACATTGGGAAGAATCCCGTCATGGTTTCCTCATGCCTCGTCCTCTCCGAAGCCTCATTTCTTCACATCCTTCATACCTGAACCGATGAGTGTCTCGATATCCCCTGCGATATCCGAGGTCGGGAAAAATCTGCTGTACCTACGCAGAACAAAATCACTCGCAATGCATCATGTTAGTACGATATCGTCAAGGTCGGCGACCGTGCGTGTGACTTTCCAGTTTACCTGCGAAACGGTTTCCCATCGGGAGCAAGGAGGAATTTTTCGAAGTTCCACGTGATGTCGTTCCTCGTCACCGGACTCCAGACGATGTACTGGGGGTTCGTCATGAATTTCACCGGTTCATCGTGAGGCACGGGGAGAACTTCCCGAAGATACTGCCCCAATCGCCACCCCATCAGGTCAGTTCAATCGCAAACACGACACTAACAATGAGAAGCAAATAAATTCTTGGACTCACTTTGAAGATCGGATGAGCCTTTTCCCCGTTCACGTCAATCTTGCCGAACAATGTGGCTTTCGGTTCGAAATCCCCACCAGGTCGTACGCATCGCAAGTGATTCAAAATCTCATGATTCTGACCGTTCTCCTGTACAAAAAATGCTGAAGCAGTGAAATTTGAACGTTGTATCAACGCAAAAAAAGCTTTGCACTAACGCACACAATAGACGGTGCGATTGCAAGAGCTAGCAGAAAAAAAATTCAAAGAGCCGTATGCCTGGGTCCAGTGCTTTCAAGAGCTGAACCCATTACTTGGCAAATAAAGGAATCGAGCAATAAAAAATCTAACGCAACATTTGTTTTCAAAACTTGGCTGCAACTTGCAACTGAAACGCTTTTGCGTATTAAAATGTGCTTCCAGATGGAGACGAAACCAAATATAGGGTTACATTTACGAGCAGGCCTCTGAATAAAAATCGAGCTGCATGAAACAAAGCGTGCGGCCTGTGTAAGCCTTTATAGCGTATTTAGTAACTTTGCTATATAGACTAAAAATGCACAGGATTCGATGTAATGGATGTGAGGCTTAGTCTCAGCTAACATCGTAGTCCATAGGTTAAGTGAACCCAAGAGGATCTTGTTGGCACGAGGGGAAGACAAGTAATGTTAGATGTGGAGATAAAGCGTCCTCATCCGTGACACGGGGGAATAGCTAAAAGTGAAGGTCACAGAAAGCCATGGAGGACAGGGTCGTCGAAGGGAATTGTGGGGCCCCGAGGCAAATATTTATATAAGGCTTGCCTTTTCACTCGTCCTTCCCCGCTTTAAACACTCACTCCTTCATTCATTGCTAACAATAGTTCAGTAGCATAGCGTTTGGCAGTATGCGTTGGAGGGCCAGGGCCCGGGGCAAATTGCCCCTTTTGCCACCCCCTCTTTACGGGCCTGCTGGAAAATTTCGTTCAGCTAAAGAGAAAATGATTTGTTTCCACTCACTTGATATCCGAATTGGTTGCAAGGAAAAGCGAGAATGGCGAGTCGATCGGATCCATACCGTTCCAACAACTCGTTCATCCCCGTGTAATCCCGAACCGTTGTACCTCAGTAACTCGCCACGTTTTCTATCAAAATCACCTTCCCGGCGAATTTGCGCATCGGGATCTCCTGCCCTATCATAGAAAAGTCCTTAATTCGATCCGTGCCTTCCGAAAGGAAATCAAAGCCATGGGAATAGCAGTGAAGATTCGTCAGGGGTTTAAATCTCGTACTTCCTCTCAAGGATGCCCTCGAAAGGAATTAAATAAAACCTGAGACAGACCTGTGATGCTGTCGGCAGAGAAGTCAAAGAATTGCGCCATGTCCTTATTGGAAAAGGCAGAGAGAGTATCCAGCACAGACGAACACTTGTGGCTCACTGAAGAACAGCCAGCCCCCATAGGCAAAGGAAATTACTTCGTAGCCTCCGGGGATCTGCGTACGCCTCGTCCCCGTCGTCTGCTGATGACGAAACACCCTCGAAAATGAGTTGCCGCCTTCGTCTCCTCTCGTCACCCTCTCGCAATACGCGAGAGGTCGTGAAGAAATTATCGGCCGTGTCCATCAGGCGCAAGCGTGAGAGTACCATTATATTCCTGGAAGGTTCGCGTGCGGATCGTTTGTTCGATATCTCTCCCTCATCACTCATTCATTCTCACGCTCTCACTTCGCCTCCATGATGTTAAACGATCCAAGGCATCGAGAATCTCATGTTCTCGAAACGTATCGAAATTTCGGATATCTCTCATCGGCACTCGATTATTTTCTTTCCCGTTACTCTATTTCTGCTTTATACTCTAGTCTTTTTGTATCTAACACTGAGCACTCTTAACAGGAAGGAAATTCAGGGGGTGTTCACGTGAAATAGAGAACTGTGGATGCTGACGTGAATGGTCCGATGAGATGAAATCCGAATTCGCGCTGGTCTTGCATCCCAAAAGAGGAGAAGCATCCATGCCAGAAGCTGTTGAGTTTAAGAGTTTAAGTGGAAGTTTCACTTCCCAGATCTTACAGCCCCATTTCATCGAGGCCCTTCTCTCACCTTTCTCAAGGCCTTTCAGAGGGAATTCTTCATACACTTCTGCCACACTTCTCCACGATAGGCATCATCGCGGAAGCAAAGTAAGGCAAGGAGAGAGAGAGAGAGAGAGAGAGAGAGAAAACATCAAATTCATGGTTTATTTTAATCGAAGTTAAACTTCTTAAAATCAAATGTCACTGCTTAATTAAATAACGCCATGAAGGCAAACCAGATAGCACACAACGCTGCGAAAATATAGCGCTGACTTTGGTACTAAAGAAAACCACCCCTGAAAAACACCACGTGCTTGGCTGTCAGCTTTCATACAGCCAGGAGCTTTGAACTTTTGACGGTTTGGTAAAGAAATTCCATTCATTTCCGCAAGGTTAAAGGGAATACTGGCATGTACATTTTGTCGCGCTTCATCCGCAGGGCAACGTTGGCAGGAGTCATCACCTATTACCGACTGCATCGGCACTGTGCCTGTGCTTGTGTTCTCTTGATGTTCATGCCTTTAAATGACCTGGGGTCATATTCATTGAAATTTCACAAGAAGTGAGACTCATGCGATGTTCGAAGTTCTTTTCTAATGCTATTCACGAAGTATCCTAGGTCCCCATCTCGTTCGTACAAATACTACTGAAATTCATCAAGCTTCGAAGCTATTACTGTATAATTGTATAATAAGCCAGTCAATCCTTATTGGTCTTTGAAGCAAGGAAGCCAATCGTAAAGCGGAAAGTAAGATGGGTATCGCGCTGGCATCGTCACCTACTCGTCCCATGCTGCAGGAGTCCCCTGTAAGCTTTGTGCACACTCCATGCTGTCGTTTTCTCTCTTACAGGAAGTTTGAGCATTATTGTAGGATCTGCTAAAACTTCTGAAGCACTCTACTCGATCACCGCACTGAATCTCATCACAAAAAGTCTAGTCCAAGGATTCTGACACGCAAGAGGATAGGTTCTCTGGGGCCTTTTTCACGAAACTTCTTTAACTTTTCTTTAACTTTATTTCGGCTATATTTCGACTTATCTCGACTCAAAATAAAGAAAAAATAAAGACACCTTTGGAGGTCTCTCTATCTCGACTTTAACCTCTCTGAGGGTTACGGAAACTCACCTGTGTGTATTCTTGATAACATGCCCCAAGCGTTGCACGTGCATTCTTTCTGCCACTTGTGACTTACTGCTCGTATTCTACTCTACCGAAACTCACCTATGTGCATTCTTATTAACCTGCCCCAAGCGTTGCATGAGCATTCTTTCTGCCACCTGCTCTCCGTGTTCACACGACCATGGCTGCAAGGCTTCACCTAATTCGAAAGCAAATTTGTCAGGAAAGAGTACTTTGCGACCCCCCTGGCCACAGACTCCATCTAATATGGTAGGAATGGAAAGGCCATGACCATTACCGAGCATGGAGTGAATGGAATCTGTGGCCAGGAATCGAAGTGCCACACATACTATCAGCTGGATTGGTAGTGCTCCACAACGGGCAGTACCTCTTTGTATTTTCGCCTGGACTAGGACACAGATATCCAAGAGGAGACTCCGTGAGAGTCTGAATCTGCTCCTGAGTCCTTCATCGTCGTACTCTTCCAAGGGGCTGTTTCGGTCGCAAAGTACTCTTTCCCTCTAGGACACAGATATCCAAGAGGAGACTCCGTGAGAGTCTGAATCTGCTCCTGAGTCCTTCATCGTCATACTCTTCCAAGGGGCTGTTTCGGTCGCAAAGTACTCTTTCCCGACGAAGCTGCCTTCGGATTAGATGAAGCCTTGCAGCCATGGTCGTGTGACACGGAGAGCAGGTGGCAGAAAGAATGCTCATGCAACGCTTGGGGCAGGTTAATAAGAATGCACATAGGTGAGTTTCGGTAGTCCTCTGAGAGGTTAAAGTCGAGATAGAGAGACCTCCAAAGGTGTCTTTATTTTCTCTTTATTTTTAGTCGGGATAAAGTCGAAATATAGCCGAAATAAAGTTAAAGAAAAGTTAAAGAAGTTTCGTGAAAAAGACCCCCTGGTCTTAGTATCAAGTTCGGCACCATGGAGAGTGATGCTCAATTCAGGCACCCTAAACGAAGGAAGAACATATTGGCTCAATATTATTGCATCTCATAAGAATTATGTGGCAATTTAAGATACCTTAGGACCGTTCGTAGATTTGCGATTATAGATACAAACTGCTGCACTTTTGTGAACAGGAAAAATATTCAATATTCTTACGAGCAGCGAGCGAAGAACCTCAAGTGTCCTAAGCAAAAAGGTTTCATCGATACCATTAGATCAGGGATGTGCAACCCGCGGCCCGGTAATGCAAAATAGGATAACAGATAAATTTATTTGCGGCCGAAGGCCCATCACAATTTTGGTCATCCCTTAGTAACAAGAAATTGACTCACTTCCCTCTAATTTTTCCTCACGCGGCCGGTGCTACATATGTCAGGAGGAAGAAGGTCCTCAATGCCAAAGGCTATTTTTGGACTTTGGAATTTCCTAGGGGTGGGGAGAAGGTAAGGATCATCGGCCAATCAGCGCGACCTTATGCCCTCTTATGCCCCGAGGACAAAAGAGGGGAGCCTTTTCTTTTGCATTCTGTGGCCCGCGTCAAGAGTCACACATTTCCATGCGGCCCACTGCCGATAAAGGTTGCACACCTCTGCATTAGACGCTCGACTCCGGCCCCAAGTGAACTCGGAGTCCTGAGTCCAACAGCCTCATGCGGCTACATGAAGAAAACCGGGTTTCTACCTTCACCACGAGATGCCGTCCGAAGTATAAGGCAGCGCATTAATAAATATAAGAAGATTTGAATCAAAACACACGAATTAAGCAGCTGTCTGAATATGTGTCTAAAGGGAGACATGAAAACACCGACCTCATCCCATGATTTGATATCTTCACATGTGAAACCGATTCTTCCAAATGAGATGACGAAATTGTCCTAACCGGAAGGTAGCAGGTTTGATAGCCGGTGATCCAATCGTTCTCGAGGACCGTTCAGCCACACGTCATGGGGTTCATTTCTATAAGAGGACTGAATCGAATCTTGTAGCTCTTGTAAAGGAAGTGGAATCACAGGAAGAGAGATAGCAAGCAGGAGGCTTCAAAGGAAAGATTGAAGGAAACCGTGCACTCATTTTCCATCTTGCAGTATTTAGTGCCTTGGAATGAATGGAGTAGGGATCCTTGCAGCAGTCTGCATGCCTGAGGAAATAAATGACGAAGGTGAACCTGGCTTCCGCATCATGGAAGATCATTGCCGAATACCACGGCGCGAACCACCTGCTCGAAAGATTCACATTTTATTATAACTTACTCTCTGCTGCGATCGATTCGGATTCGAGGAGCAGCTATAGGGAATGGACATCATAAATAGCTTTAAAAAATGGTCGTCCTGGCAAGGGAATCCTCCGGATGCTTTACATCCCAGATGGCACAGTTTGTTGGACCAACATAGGCCCAACTTTGGCGTATAACCAAGTTCAGTTTTTGGTCATTTTGCAAGGTGTAAATATTTTCCTTTCCAATCTGATCACCAACGTGTCTGAAAAATCTACTCGGACTTTAGCATCGGAGGACATCGTACGTTCGGATGAGGAACCCGAGGGATTTCGTCCACGGAAAACGAGCAGATACGAGGATCATTCTCATCTTTTGCGTAATATCTTGGCGTAAGAACTTCGTGATCTTTTTTTTCTTCTGCCGGGTTTATTCTCATCTAGATCTGACGAGCATTTTCTCGCAAAGCAAAATTTTTTGTTCGTAATTAATTTTCTTCTTATGAAAAATTTTCTACTCAGAGAGTCAATGACAGCGCTGGTTACATGCAAGCGTGATGTCCATGCCTTCTCTTCCAGTAGCATGTTCCCCCTTACGAACGATGGGGAACGATGGGGAACGAGACGTTCGCGTGCCGATCGACAACGCCCAGAGCGCCAAGAGGTGATCGAAGCGTCTCATACTAGGGCACTTTTCCTCATTTCCTTTTCTATGTTCCGACGAAAAAGTACGAATCAAGGCGCCGTACACAAACAACCTGGGTCATAGGCGATTCACACGAGCCAATGCTTGAGCGCACTGTTTACCAGTTGTCATGGCAGCCGAGATTCTCATAAATCGGAGAACTAGCGCATGCAATTCCGTGCCGACTTCGAGTCACTCCTGGCTCCCATGTAAGACCTGCATGGGACACTGAGGGTCATTAGTGATTCCCATGCAAGCCAACGTGATGATCGATGCACTGGACCTATCGTAAGGAGACGTGGAACGCGATTGTTGAATGAGTGAGTGCAGTCGGAGTGGCACAAAGGTCCTGCGAAGAGGTTAAAATCAAACGGGCTTTCCTCTAATTTTCCGAAAAATTCCAATCCATAGTCGGAATCGGGCTTCCGCTCACGGAAGTAAATTTCCGACTCATTCGGGTTTGCCTTCGTTATTAAAAAACGGCTCCTTTCCATTCGAAGTACGGCGTGATAAATGGGATTACATTATCATTACGCAACCTCCCCTTATTAATCCGTGATTAATTTTTAATTAATCCCTATCACGGAGCTCTAAGTCCTATTCACTAATGCCATTACTCAGTACCTCTTCATCACTTTCGGAAAAGATCGCGACCCATTCTCGACTCTCTCTCTTCTCAAAGAGAGTGTAAGAGGAGAACGACCGAGTCCTGCATCTTTTATACTTGGATTGATCTAAGACGTGCGGGCCGCCGGCAACCAGGAAGTGTAGAAGACATCTGTGAAGCAAGGCGTCCATCGTTTCAGAGCAGTTCCTCTCCCAACAGGAAGAAGAGGCTGTGATGCTTTTCATATCCCCTGTGTCCGATAGAGAAATACACATAAAAATACCTTTCTTCTCGAGAGTGAAAACTGTGCGCTTTCCGAAGCATCACGATTGTGTAATTAAGGGGATATCGGAGGCTGCTGGGAGTCATCCACCATTCGGAATGTAAACTAAAGGTGTCGGGTGGCTTCATTAAGGTGTCGACACAGAAAGGTCCGAACGATCAGGAAGGATTTTCCGAGAATATTCGAAACTGGCTTTTCCGACAAGAATGAGGAAAAGGATCGTTCGCTTAAACGTCGGAATTCGAATGTAGGTCCCTTAGCCGTAACATTTTGCGAAAAAGAAAGGGAAAATTCCGCAAATAAAACGAAGTCGGATTTCCGAGGATATGCAAGAAAAATTTTCCGTCCATTAGAGGGAATGCAGGTTTACATGCTCTCTGTCGGAAATTTTTACAATAGAGACTCGTAAATTTCCGGTCTTTTTTTTTTTTACAGTGATCGGTAGAAGATGCTGAAGAGATAGAAGCGACGAAAAAAATTCGATATCGTGTCAGCATAAAGTTTTTCTGCACGTTCCATCTCAAATGAATGATAAAGATTCAAACCAGGCTATGAAACTTCACCCAGTTTCAAACGCAATCATCTTTCAAGGTCGTAGAACCGAAAATCGCAGAGAAAAAGCAATCTGTTTTCTGCTTCCCGCCAGGTACTTGACTTGAAGGTGCTCAACGCGACTGAGAGGAGATGGCAGGCAATCTCAGTCATGAAATAGGTTTTTCATCGTTTCTCATTGTCCGTGTTATTGTGATGTGCTTCGCATTTCTTAAGTTAAGGGTTCCTGTTCATTCGATGAGGCTTCTTCACTTCACTGAGTTTCTTCACTGAGAATCTTCACTGAGTTTGCAAGAAATATCAAAATTGACAGTTGACATACAGAAAAGCACGATTCACGACACGACAAAACTGCAAGAATGGAGAATTAGGTTTTAAGACTACAGAAACCATACAAATCAATTATTTAAGAAGGCGGCGAGAACACAGATCAACCGTAATCTATCTATATACATACCGACCGGCGGGTACAAAGAGATCTAATTTTTACTTCCGAGGAACTAACTCCTAGCCTCGGTCTACGGACCAAACATTGGGCATGGGCAGGGCCTTGGGGGCAGTTCCAAAGTGTGTTCAACCATGATTATTTTTAATTGAGGAACACATTTTTTCTTGCAATTGCCATCCAGTGATCAAAGTCGAAAGTCACCTATCTACACACCCCCTGCGTACACGAGTTTTCGACCAGTAACACAATAAAAGAAGTAATGAGAAGGAAATCCTCCAGTGAGACTGCATGCCGCCCGCACTCAGCCATGTTGGATAGGGGCATATTTCTAGTTCACTGGGATTTTTCATAATTCAACATCGAAATTTGGTCAATTTTAAGCACTGGGTGAAATTTATCGAAACCTAGCACAAGTCTTCATTTATTTAAGATGTCATGCGTAGAAAAACATGAGACTTCCACGAAGTAAACCCTTGATATTACAGTCCAATTAATTATCGCCTATTTCTTCACTAAAGCGAGGGTGACGCTTGATAGAATCAATCGCACGGTATATCGAAAGGCAAAATCGACCGATAGTGTGTGAAACTTATCTACTGTAGATTGCCTTAACCCCCTCCGCTTTTCTTAGGTACAGTCCAATCCTTAGTATGAACCATTTTTCATAGCCTCTCTCTCTCTGTCGCACGATTGGGTGGAACAGTCGGCAACAAATATTCAGCCGAGTACGGTAATATACAAAGGTTGGAGTGGGGTGTGTGGAGGGAAACCGTTCGACCCTGGAACTCATTCAGTTCTGCTCTTCTCTAGAGTAGAATGCAAAGGTGTCTTTCCGTTTCCTCCGTCCCTTTTCCAAGAGGTCTGCTTACTGCCCATTCAAGTCGCGTGTATACTGATGACCTACGACCATTCCACGTCTGCCTCCCTTGCAAAATAGTAGATACGGGATACGTGATGTTTGAATGGGATCGCAAAATGATGCTACTACTCATCATGATTTTCTCGGCTGGTGGGATAATCGAGAACAGACCCCCTTCGCACGATCCACGTAGTTGAGTCTTCTTCCTACTCAAGGCAGGATGCAATAATTTGCTTGAAATATGATTGTAATGAATGTGAATACGACGACAAGGTCGACACCTCTGATCGACACTGAACTAATGGGATACCCTAGGGACCAACCTTGGCCACCTGTTAACGAATTAGTACTTTATTTTTCCCGTCCTCTATTCAGGATTCCTTCTCCAACGGGACATACTGGGAACCATCCGGACAATGTGACTAATGTGAATGAAATGGGAAGCAGATTGAGTACAGCCATAACGCCCTGCCTCTCTAGGTTTTCCTCTGGGATTTAGCCATTTATTTCACCATATGTGGCACAATCACTCTTTTCTTTCCCCTTTCTCTTTGTCGTGACTCTCGTCAACACTCCCATCAAACACCTATTGGAAGGGGACACATGATTCATATTATTTTCACTTCAAACGATTAAACGTATCTTTGAAAAATTTCCCCCAATGCTTTATTTTTCCCGCCCTTAGTAATTCTGTGATTAACAGGTGTGTAGTGAGAATGTGGGGGAATGGGCGGGAGAGAGGGAGCGAATCGATTGCGCACGGGAAAGTGGTTCACCTGGGAAACAAGGTACAGGAGGGGGGAAACACACAGGTGCAGGGAGGCCACACCATGCCTATCCCGTACCCGCAGACGCATTCTGCTTTTCCTGGAATCCAATTCGGTCCTGTTCATGATCGACCTCCTTCTACTGCCCCCTTATTGTGTGGACAGTAGTGTTCGACGACAGCTTCTCTCCTTCAACATTCAAAGGTCCAGGTAAGGGTAGGATATTTTCCCTTTATTTCCTCACATCTTCCTGGGCTCCAGTTCGCTGGAAATTAGATCAGAACCGGGGGTTTCAGAAGTTATTTCAGGGTTTTATCGGCACGTGTTCCTTCCAGTCCGATCATACGAATCGATCCTTCATTGATGACCAATCATATCACAAGCTCATGTTTGCTAAATTCGATCAACCTGAGGTGGAACTAATTGCATCCCGAATCCTGGAACTATTCAACTTGAGTTATTCAAGCCTTCCAACTTATCGAAAGTAAGCTTATCATCGAAACCTGTCATTTTCAGCATTAACGATGCGGTTGGGATTTTCGGGTTGCCAAGCTGGCCATCCCTTCCGTCTAATCGATGGATCCATGGAAGTATCGTAGGAATGAAAGAATTTTATTTACGTCATCTCGCGATCGACCAACGATCGATCGGCTGCCATCAGATTGATAGCTCCATGGAATCAAGCCGGCTCTCGAGAGTGTTGGTGTGAGCGTCTAGCCCTTGACCTAGAGTACATGACCAGGTACGAAGGCAGATCGAAGGTGTGTGGATCACCATACAGGGTGGCGCAAAAAAACACCGTATTGCTTGAGGTATAAGAGCTACTGTGGAAATGCTATATATATATATATTTTTTTTACCACATTGAAAACACTCCGGAAGAAAAAACTAGATTCATGACAGCTTTGAAGTCTTTAGGTTGTTTGGGTAAAGAGCAACAGTCATTGAAACTTCGGTAAGAAAATTCCACTTTTTCACTTATCTGGAGGAAGCGGTTTCGGCATTTCTAAACTGACCAGTTCGACTTGTAGCCAGAGTCGCCCATGAATGTATTCTTAATGCTATATTCTTGAATTGTGCAGCGTCATCATGTCGTATCTGACAAAGGAAAAGTTCCTGCGTTAAAGAAGGGCTGGAGTGGGAAGAGACTCCACAGAACCGAGTTCGCAATTTGATGAGAAACTCTCATTATTTCACTAATCTCTTCCCTCTCCTATCCTTATGCCCTAAACATACCATCAAGTTCTGGTCTTACTTTCTCACCTGAGGCCTAAAGACACTACACAATCAAGAATACTATGATGACGACTCTGGATTTAAAAAATACAACCTTTATGATGGCAAAGGAGAAATTTGTAAAGCATTGCATGCACCTCACGCGTGGGAAAAGTTACATTTGATGACTGCCTTTTAATTGACTGCCACTTTTTTCCATAACTTCAATCTTTCAGGAAACAAATTTTTTAGTGCTTCCAACGTGAAGTAAAAAATTACAAAGCTCGTAGAATCTCCACAGTCGGATTCATAAGGCGTCAAACATGACGCTTTTTTTGCACCACTCCATATTTGAGGCGAAAGTAAAATATAATTGATATGACCCTGTGGATACGAAATGATCTATTGTGATTTTCTTAAATTTTACACTTATGAATATTGTACTTAAGTAGAACAGGAAATAACTGATACCATCTAAATTCTAAAGGTTCCAATCCCGAATCATAATTTCTTAGGGTGCAGGACGAATCATCATTGACTCAATGTTGGAGTGAGGCAAGATGCCATCTTGTTAGAGCACAGATGCCGTAACCAAGGAGTCGGATCACCAGTTGAAACCTCCTTTCTCTATGGTTAGGGTCAGAATTACCCAGGGCCTCGTTCTACTGGGCTACCTCTTTCGTCAAATGTGCAGGGTAGCACACTTTATTTGACTCCCCTGTGGAGGCGACTGATGTAACTTCGACAAGAAAAGCATTTATTTCTGAAAAGTACATGCAATTATAAGTTTTCAGAGATACTTTTGAAATTTGGTATGTCCACCAGGGGCGTGTCAACACGCTTACAACTGTGAGTACTAAATTATTAATTAAGTGTCACGAAGTGGGCAGAGTAGTCCTTCGTGTTCTTCAGCGCATCAACAAGGTGCTTGACTGGGAAACCGCCAGTCACCATACTTCTTAAGCATCCTGGAGAGCGGAGACCATCGGCTGCAAGTGAATAGGAATCAGTTTCGGCCAGAGAGGGGTAGGATCCTGCGCAAGTGATGACGTTCAAGGGCCGTTCTACGATAAAAGCAGAAGCAGCAGCTTGCTAGTCATAACTTCCCTTGCAGTTCAAGGTGTACTTGGCTCTCGCTCTCCTCTCATCTACGTACAATACACTCGCACTATTCGGCGTCGTCTTGACAGCGCTCTACAGCTCTGACAACACTCATTTGCTCGCGTGTTTAACTGATAGCTTTATGTTACATGCTTTCATTCATATTCTTAATAACATTTGTTTGTTACGTTGGGCAGTGGCAAAGTATACATTGTCGCATCCTGCAAGAATACTTAAAGAAATCAGGAGACAGAAAATGTATCACTCCATGAATTTCCAAATTGCCTAGACAGGACAAATGAATGGCTTCAAGCAGTGGGAAGAGGATCTGTCCCAAGATATGCATTTGTGTGGTTTCATCACCACTCTTTTGATTCATATCATTATAAGTAGGGCTGTACCAGTGGCCACTTTTGGCCGATGGACCGATGGCCGATTATGATCTCATATCCATCGGTCGGTGCAGATGCCGATTGTGACATGTAGATGAATAGCTGAAATCCCCGATATCAAATGCTCTTTCAAATAGGCCTATAATGATGCCACGTCCTACTTATTTTCTTTTAACACTGTCACGATGGCTGTTTTGAAAGCATAGATGTACCTGAACTACCGATGGTGGATCGATGCATCACGATGCATCACGAGATTCAGTCATCTCGCGTCTCGATAGGACGGAGGTTCCAAGTCCGTCGTTTCTTGCCTTGATCGGGGCGCAGAACCTCTTTTCGTCGTCTTCCGTCATCTCTCGTCCGTGATCGGGGTGAGATGCGACCATCGCTGCGGAAAATGAAGCCATCGATGCCGATTGGTAGTGATATTGAGCAATCGTGACAGTCATACTTTTTTCCAATTGCTGTTGAGAATCATAGGCTGTGGCGTGTTCACGTGGTTTTTTTTTCCTCATTTTCTTCGTCTGGCATGTTCTTCTTTGAGCATCGGCATCGAAAGCTCGCAAACCTACCAAGAGCCAATACCAGCGGGTCGCCGATGGATCGGTACAGCCCTAATTATAAACCGGAGATACAACATTTCGAAGGCATGCCTAAACACTCATAATTAAATGTACCTTCCGGAAACAAGAAGTTTTCCTTTTCAAAGTTTTATCAGTTGACTCCAAAGGGGGCTACATATTGTATGCCAGGGTGGCACACATTGAGGAATTTCAATATCCTCCCTTGTGTCGTCTGCAGGGAAAGGTTCGAGCACCGCATAAAAAGCATTGATTCCATACGAATTCAACCAGGCAATGCGCTTGACCACCTCGGATTTTGCATTGCGATTCCAATCAATGTAACAATCTGGTTTTAAAATAAATAAAAACAAACAAACAAACAAAAACAAACAAGAATCGCCTCCATCGGATCAACGGTTAGAGAGACATCGTCCCCCCAAACTTCGGGGGAAAATGGAAAAGCTCCATGGAAAGGAAAAATTTCATCTCTTTCATCTCGCATGGAGACGTGCAATAGCTTGAACCGAAGCTCTTTAATAGGTGACCAATTCGCTTCATATATCCTTGAAGTTTGAATGATATTTAAGCATCAGAGTTGTTTTAAGAAAGGGAAATTTAAGCACTTTTGACCCAAAAATATCCTTGTGGCGGGGGAAAATAAAAATATCATGTTACAGTAAGTTGCACTTCTCTCTCGAGTGAATTGATAAATCAAGTTACTTGCTTGACTTTTTTTCCTTTACATGGAGAAAAATCCCCCTCAAAATTGGAAACGTCTAATTTTTGGCCATCTTTGGTCGAGTATTTTTCGATGTGGCGGAGTACTTACGATATCAACGGTAGTGGCATTAGATTGGGGAGTTCGAGATCTTCCCAAGGCCAAACTACCATACAAATCGTCAACGTGGAACACTCAATACATGAAAATCTATTGAGGCATAGAATGTGAACAGGTATACCTGTAAACTGCAGCCATTGCTGCTCGAGCCTCTTGATTGATGATTCATTGTTGTTATGACGTGCTTCGACAGTTTGGTCCTTGGATTAGGCCTCTACTCGTATTTGCTACCACGCGTTTTAGTTGCTGTTAGCTAGGCCACAGAATGTAAACTGTCTCGGGGACTTGCGAGAGTGTTCTTGATAACTAATGAAGACAACCCTCAAACTAGCACTCTCTTTCCTTGAAGTTATCATTGTTGAGATATACCCATCTTTGCCGAGAGGGAATATGCCTCTTATATGAGTTTTGTTGTATATAAGTGTGTTTTGCATTTGTAGAAATGTCAGGACTGGGAAGGGAGTGAATGGGTTGCGGTTCTTCGAAAGCGACGGAGGTTTCCTCCACCCAAGCCACAAGACATGCTAATCCCAACTCTATCGCTTCCGTCGAATGGAAACAAATTCCCGAAGGAGTGAATGGTGTCAGACGAGGCGGGGGGGCGGGGACGGGGAATTCCATCGCATTCGAAGTGCCTGTTTCAGAGAGTATCATCAAGAAGCATCCCCCAAGGAGGCTCCAGAAATTGGAGGATCAACAGATTGCAACCCTGAACCACCAGACCATCGAGGAGAAGCAGGCTGAGGCAGACAGGAGGAGGCAGAGGGTAGAGAACCATCACGAAATTATTTCATTTTTTATATTTCTGGTTAAGGCTCAATAGAAATGCAATGCCTATTGTGTTTCTTTCAGATTTTGAGTCAGAGAGTGCAAAGTGCGAAGAGGAGATCGACACAGACTGCCCGATCTGGCTCCCGATCCGCGGATCTGGATATTGTGAGTCTTCTGTCGCCAACCCGTCCATCACCACACTCTTTCTTCTCTCTTTATTTCTGCAATGTGTCTTTGTAAGGCGGAGGGGAAGGCACCACCGATCTTGAGACCCATCGGAGGAGACGGGGATGATGGGGGTGCCAGTCTTTGATTCTCTCACCAGCGGTTTTTCTCCTCGTGGACCAACTTCATTTCATTCGCACGTGACCACATGATCCTCGACCAGTGATCTTCAGACTGCAGATATGGCCTGTCTCGACCGAACGGTTGAGATGTTCTATTTTTCCATGAGAATGTGATCTGCATCATCTCCCAAGTGTTTTTGACGAGAAATCGCTCTTACGCGCACGAATTTTTGGACCCCCAAGGAACTTGCACAATCTGATCGAAGATATTTTCTCAGATGTTTACTTCATTCAAAGTTGAACCATATAGCGCCTAGAGAATGGAAAAATATTTTTTTATATCCAAGGCCAGTGACCTCTCGAGAGACCTCTCTTCTCAAGAGAGAGGGAAGAAAGCAAATTTTGCCTTGATGTAAGGAGCGATGATTCCTTCCAGTGTCGAAGCTATAGCAGCTTGTACGACGTGAAACTTGTTTTAAAAAAGCAGAACCAAAATGTAAGAAGGCAGAAACTGAAAAGTCCCATTCGCAATGTCCCTGTCTGCCAGAGCCAGGGGACGGTCAGTACAGAAGAGAGAGGACAATATCACCTAACAAAGGTTAGACCATGAGAGCTGAGGCAGATGTTTGGCTGTCTGAAATTCAGCTCTTGATTGAAAATGCTGCAGATATTCATAAACCAAACATCTCTGAGAATGCGTGAGGGACGAAAACTGGTGGCAGACTCTCTCTTCATCGTACGCATGGGGTCCATTTCGCTCTCTCGTTCTCTTTCGTAACGCCCATTGGAGAAATTCACATATGCAAGTAACCAAAAATGCAGGCCTAAATCTTCTAAATGGCGACATGGGTACCTTTGAGCAAAGTGGAAACTAAAAGCAATGTCGTCTCACCAAGTATTTCCCTTTTGGGACATTACAATACCTTGAAATGTGATAATTGGATGTATTCTACTGATTGAGGCAATCAGCAGACGATGCTCTGTAGGAGATCGATCATCTTTCTATCTCCTGAATCTTCGTACATCGATTGAAAGTACTATAGAATAGCGTGATTATTTTGGTCGTTGCTACCTTTTTTTAAAAGTTTTTTTCCTTACTGCTTTACCTATTATTTGGTTGCCGTTAATCACACAATTTCGTTTTCATTTTCTCGTTTAAACGCAAAAAAAAGAAATGTAAGGTGACAATAAAAGGAGTCCTATCATGATTCTTTGGAAGCAATGCCAAGGTGCTCCTGGCGCGTTTAACATTTTGCAACAGTATATTTAAAAAAAAAATAAACATTAACACAGGGTAACAAAAATAATCCTCTCATGCAACTACGGATTCCTAAGATTTTCAATTAAATAGACAGAAAATTGTGATACATATAAAAAAAAAACCAAGGTAATATATTGTAAGACAAACATACAATACGTTTTGATGATAAAATACTGCGAATCTAGAAAAACATAGGAAATTAGAGATGGACGACAATATAAACGCGCGAGACAACGATGTTGAATTCTCCAAACTAAAATTATTCCTCCCTAACCCCCACGCAATTTCATCTCCATTTCCCTTGCCAAAATAACTTCGCTTTTCTTTCTGCCCTGTTACCAACATCCCACTTCGCTTCTTGAATTCCTAATGTCGGCTGTAATAGCGTGGAAACGCACATTATAAATCAGGAATTGGAAAGTATTCCCGGTGGTGATGAAATAAAATGACTTCATTCCATGGCACATGAGATTAAAACTTGCCTTTTTCTTTTACTCTTTATAATAAAGTATGTAATGAGCAGGTCAACGCTCCGATGGTGGCTCTCTCACTGATGAAAAACTGCAGAGATATGGCATTGATGGCCAACCGTCCGGCTGATTCGAGAAAAGGGAGAGATGTTGGGGAGGGGGAAGGGAGGAGGAATGTTTAAAAAAAAACCCTCAGAATATAGACTGCAAGCCAGAGGAATTAAAGAAAGGAGAAAACGTCCTTATCTTCTATCGATTTTCTTGTGTTCTGGGAAAATAAAAGGGTGGCCAGCAAAGCGAGTTCTTGGTCGTTGGTTGTGTTAGACAGGTGGCGGAATAAAACAAGTCATTTTAAAATTGAGTCCATGGAGTTGGTGGTTTACGACTGGACTTTGGCAACAGCTACTAGCGGCTCAGATCCACAGGTTTCATAGCAAATAATTTATATTAATTAAGTTGGATATATCATGAGATTGTGTATAATATGAAATAATTTTATTAAATATAGTATATATTATTATACAGGGTGTCTGAAAAGTCACTCCCTATTTTTAAATTGTTATTGCTCCTAAACCAAAGGAGATATTTTAACATTTCTTTAACTGAATTGAAGCTTATTTTTTTTTACCGTTTACTTTATAACAAAATTGAAAAACTTTATTACAAAGTTAAAATTCAACGTAGGCTCCAGCATTATCCACACACTTCTGTAACCTTACCGGTACATTTTCAACAGATTTTCTCAAGAAGTCACCTGGTGCATTGCCTAGAATATCACGAATTTTGTTTTCAAGTTCATCAATGGTCCTTGGTTTTGATTTTTAAACTAATTCTTTCGCCCAGCCCCACAGAAAGAAGTCGCACGGCGTTAAATCTGGACTTCGAGCAGGCCATTCCGTTGGCCCTCAACGACGTATTAAATTAAGTTCTTCTATGCTTAATTTTTCAGCCATTATTCACTTATAATAGAAATGGTAATGATTAAGCTTAAAACAGTGAAAGAACGGTTACAATATCTCCTCCAGTTTAGGAGCAATAGCAATTTAAAAAGAGGGAGTGACTTTTCAGACACCCTGGTGTCTGAAAACTCACTCCCTCTTTTTAAATTTTAAATTTTAACTTTGTAATAAAGCTTTTCAATTTTGTTATAAAGTAAACGGTAAAAAAATAAGCTTCAATTCAGTTAAAGAAATTTTTAAACATCTCCTTTGATTTAGGAGCAATAACAATTTAAAAATAGGGAGTGACTTTTCAGACACCCTGTACAGTATATTATCACACGTTAGACATCACAATATGTAATTAGTTGTAGATAGCGAATAATAACTATGGATGTATAGCATAAAATTTCAAAATACTGCTTATTGTTCTGACTACCTCAAGTGAAAGGTTTATCCGAAAATATCTGCACGAACCAGATACGTCCAAACTTTTCTAACGTTAGAGCATTTCCCGCTGATTTTTTTTTTAAAGCGCTTACTGCCATTTTATTTTTGTATCTTTTGATCCCATGGCAATCCCAGATTTAAATTTTGTTCATACAAGAGAAAAGGTTGGGAATGTCAAGGTAATTTTTTTTT